AGTGTAATTCTTTTTTTAAATAAATATCAATTCCAAACACCATTTAAAATATAATAAGCGGTAATGACAAAAAAAATCTAGATTAAAATTTCATAAATTACTCTTTAGTTTGCTTAGGACATTGTCCTATGATCTATCTTGAGAGTAAGTAAAAATCATAGGTCTAAATCAATTTTAATTATTGTTCTATTTCTTTCGTTTTTCTTGGGAAAAAATACCAACTGCACTTTCTTTTCTCTTTCGTCATATCTTCAATATTACGAAGAGACAAAATCAAAAATAAAATAGATTATGCGCTGATAGTAACATATAATTATAAATTGCGTATATCAAAGCCAAATAATTATTGTTTTCTCTCATTATAGATTTTAATTCTTATTTGACTCAAGTTCTTTTTATTTAATAAAGTGATATGGAGGAAATACATCGCTTATCTGACTGGAAATATTTGGATAAAAAACAAATTGGTATAACTTGTGTAGCTTTTAGTGGTGGACAACCTAAAGGTGGTGTTGATTTAGGACCAGAATATGTCTTAAAAGCTGGTTTAATCGAACAACTCAATGAAATGAATTTTAAAACGGTATTAACAGATAATAAAATTCATGATTATAAGGAATTTTTTCCTAAATCTGATGAACCAATCGGTATTATCAAACGACCACGAACAGTGGGTATAGTAAATAAAATTCTTGCAGATCAAGTTTATCAGCATGCAAAACTTGGACGATTGGCATTACAAATTGGAGGAGATCATTCTATGGCTATAGGAACAATCAGCGGTATGGCACGAGCAGTTAAAGAACGTCTTAATCAAGATCTTAAAGTTATTTGGATTGATGCTCATGCTGATATTAATACACCGCAAACAACAGAAACTGGAAATTTACATGGCATGCCAGTATCCTATCTGATTGGTCTTACAGACGAAAAAATTGAAGGATTAGATTGGATTGTACCTTGTTTAAAACCGGAAAATCTCGTTTATATTGGTTTAAGAGATGTTGACAAAGATGAAAAACAAATTCTTAAGAAGTACAAAATTCAAGCTTTTTCTATGCATGATATTGATCGTTATGGAATTGGTAAAATATTAGATATGACTATTGAACATTTATCCAAAGGTCCATATCCTAATTCACCTATTCATCTTTCATTTGATATTGATGCACTTGATCCAACTGTCGCTGGGAGTACAGGTACTCCTGTACGAGGTGGATTAACATTTCGTGAAGGACATTACATTTGTGAAGCTCTTCATGATACTGGACGATTGGTAGGATTAGATATGGTTGAATTAAATCCTGCAATAGGTGATTGTCATGAAGATACAATTACTATTGGCTGCAGTCTTATTCGAGCAACATTTGGTGAAAGTCTTTTATAACTTTGAAAAATTGTATCACTCTTATTATTGTGTGTGTTATTTGTTGAATAAAATAAAACTTAATAAATAACATTCCTGGTCATTAAAATAATGTCTTTACAATAAGTTTTACAACAGATATCTACTATCACTTATGATAAACATAAATTCTTAATTATGTTCGTTTTTTTTTTTCTTAGATAGAATTATTCTAAAGTAGTACCAGTGTTAAACAATGTAATCTAATGAGTAAATAGATATCTCTTCTGTTCTAAAGAAAAAAACAACAAAGTATACATTTTCGAAATGCATCTAGTAGTTTTTCAAATTGTTTTAATGCTGTACGTCACCATAGTTACGAAAAAACAAAAACAAAAACGAAACAAAATAAATAAAATATTAAGAATATTAAACCAACAAAAACACATAAACGGAATGATAATATAAATTGACAATGAAAGCAGATCGATGAATATTTTTAGAAATAAACGAATTGTGTCTATGGATTGTCGGCTGCTGGTAGAGCGCGAGAAATGTGAACCTGTTCTTGTTGTGATGGTTGACCTTGAGGCGGAACTTGTACTGCAGGTGGTGGTTGTGCTGCTGCTTCAGGTTCAACATGAGGTTGTTGAAGACTAGCTGGTGAAGGAGTTTGATCAGAAGGTATTGCCTAAAATAAAATCAAATAAAAATGCATAATTCTATAAAAAAAAAAAAAAACTACTAATAGAATATTACAGTTGATACTGGATTCATGTGCTCGGAAAATTGCTGAAATTCTTGATCAGAAAAGACTGTATTATCTTCAATTGACTGCAAAAATAAATAATAATCATAGAAAATTTTCAAAAATACTAATACATTTATAAATGTATATGTCTTACCTTCCATCCTTGTTCATTTTTAGCACCTGTGCCATTAAGACCACGAACGAATTCTTCTAATGAAAGCATTCGATCATTATCTTTATCAAATTCTTTCATAACATGTTCACGCATTCGATCCATTTCTTCTTGTTTTTCAACTAGATCAGCTTCTGGTGCTCCATCATGTACTTTTTCTGCCTAAAATAATAAAAATAAAATATTCGATTTTATATTTTTTGTTGAAAAGCAAAAGAAAAAAAAATGAAAACCTCTTTTAACATAATTGCTTCAAGTTCAGCTTCACTCAAAAATCCATCACCATCAATATCATGTAATTGAAAAAATGTTTTTGGTGCAAATTGATCTGTTTCTAGATGATCAACTTTTTCCCATACTTCTTCCATTTGATCAACACTACCAGGATGATTTACTTTTGGATGTTTTTTCTTTTTTTCTAATGCTTCTCTATGTAAATCTTCTAATCTTTTACGTTCTCCACTACTAAGTTTCTGTAGAAGAAAGAATCAAAAAATGAATTTATATATGTAATTTTTTTTTCAAAAATTATACCGAATTTTTTTGTCGACGTTGATATTCTTTTCTCATTTCATATTCTTTAAATTGTTCTGCACGTTTTCGATCAAGTTCATCAAGATCTTTTGATGCATGACGTATCAAACGTTCAAGATCAAGTTGACCAAATGTTTCGGAATTTCCATGATCAATATGTTGAGGAAGAAATTCTTGCATTAATTTTCCATTTGGATCAGCTCGACTAAGTGCCATACGTTGTTTTTCTATATAAAAGAAATCGATAGAAATTTTTAACAAAAAACATAAAAGAAAAACAAATATTTACCATTTAATCTACGAACTTTTTGTCCAACTAAATCTTTTAATCGAGCCATTTCTCGTTGTTTGGCTTCATCAAGTTGTGTACGTACATGATGTTGAACAAGACTTAAATGTTCAGCAATATTTCCTGTCTAAAAAAACAAAATCAAAATGAATAGAAAAGAAATTATCTATTGAATGAAATACTTTAATATCATCCAATGATGCATTTTCAATTCTTTGTTTAAATTCTGGATCGCTTTCCAGTATTTCAACAACTTCTTTCAAATATCTTCCATATTCAAGCTTGTTTAACTT